TGGGCTGCACGACGGCGGAGGCATTCGCTCGCCGCCGTGCAGCAGAAATTTTGCCAGCACCATCGTGACGTTCCAGATAGGTGGCTTGATTATTGTAGTTGACGTTGATTTAGTGACTTTGGAAAATTTGAGTCGTGTCAAGAAGTCAGGCAGGATTCAGTACTAGGCACTAGTGGAACGTGAGTGGTAGTCTTTGCCGGTTTCTGAGGGTACCCTGGATTTGGCGTGCAGCGCTGTGGAAATGGCTTGCGGTGGAGGTCCCAGCACTGCATGTTGTATCAAAGGTACGACGTCGTAGCACGTGCTAAACCTAAACAAATTCAAAAATTGACTTGGGTCTTTAGGAGTCTGTTAGAGAACGCCCACTCGTTCCGTTGTGACAGATTCCAGGGCCACGTTGAGGGGCCCTACCCCACCACCCATGGCTGCTTCTGGACTTGTTTTAGGTTTGGGTCCCGCGCACGGACAGAATGGGCACGAAAATGTGAAAAAATTGTAAATGCATTTGTTTGGCTCCTGGGTGGCTCGCGAGCCGTGGCACTATGCCGGAAATTTGAGTTTTTCCGGCCTGGAAAGCCTGTTAGTGAGGCGCAAGAACTTGTAAATCATGTCCTGAGGGCCAGCATAGTGGCAGGAGTGTGTGGTGAAATTTCTCTCAAATCCATTGAGAACACCAAGGTTCCGGTGAATTGAATGCCATATTTGTATTGTATTGTATTTATTTAAAAGGATTCTCCAAAAGCAAATGGATGCTTATCACGGAAGTCTCCCACATAAATATCGCAAGAAAAATGGGGAAATGGGGAGAGGAGAGTGGAAGATGAAGCATGGGAAGAAGGGAAACAAGTACCTAAATATCGAGGTATAAAAGCAGGAAAGAAATCGACGAGGGAAGAAATCACCTCTGCAGATAATAGCGGGACATTTAGATGAAAAAAAACCCCAGCAAGGATTAATTTCAAGGAAAATTTTTTTTCTCAAACGGAAAAGTTCGGAATTCCAGTCAGAGAATATCTATGCTGAGAGTAATATGAAATTTATGGGTCCGCTGCCCCCTTACGGAGCTGCATCGGAGCCTTGATCCTTGAAGGAAGGGTTGCGTTCCTACGGATATGGAAAACTTGGCCTCTATAATTATATTATTATAGATAAACTGAGTCTCATGCGAATCGTGACATTTTTTCTCATCCAGGGAGCTTTAGACGAAACTTACAACCGGATTCCTTTCTCTAGAGTTGGAAAAAATTTTGCCGTGTCCGACGAAATTTTTCTGTCTATAAACTACGATGCTTGGATACATGGAGATACCCTCGACAGGCCACCCGCTCTGGGAGATCCTTTATATATAGATTATTTGATTAATATAATTTTTATTAATCGAGGGAGTGACAGAGCTCTCGGCCATTGAGGAAAATGTGGTGTCCCCTCCATCATAACACTGCGCGCTTTATATTTGTATAATAGTACACAATGTGCGGTGTATACGTTATGTATAATAGTACATAGATCTACAATGTGTACTGATACATTACTTACGTCTACAATTTGTACTCGAAAACTACGTACAAATTCAAGGTGAAAGGAATGACTGTAATTGTGAATGCTGAGTTTAGCTTCAAACAGGCGCTTGGGAAAAGGTATACTTGAATTAGGAGATATAAGATTAGTATTGTCTCCTCCTGTACTTCTTGCTTGCCTTTTCTTCGAATCCAAGATGTGACTCCGAGAAAAAGGGGCCATCAGCTATGCCCATGACACCAACTTGATTCCAGAGACATGAAGCATGTTTTGGCGATCGCTGGAACTGTACTAATATTGGTTTCAAGAAGTGTTATTGTCTTTTGTACCTATCTGGGTTTTGAAAGGAAGTTGTAACAGCACCCAAATAATGCCTACGATAGATGCCAAGGGTGCCGAGTGACAATACCTCTCTCGTCGCTACGCTATGCTATTCAGATTGGTGCCGCGAAGGCATTCAGGCTACGAGACCACCGTCTGAAATTATCTGGTGCAGATTTATACCACCGACCTTTGTCCTGGAAGGGTGAAGGGTAAATCAGGAAAAGGTATTTGGTAGTTCCCGAGCATTTCTGTTCACAAATGCAGTGGGTATCCTAGTGAAGCAGCGGCGAAGATTCTACACAGGAAGTTTAAAACGTAACAACCTCGCACTCACAAGCAAGGAGAGTTCTTTAACCTGACCGGTTTCTGTGACATGAGTCACTTCATCAGAGGAAGGAAGATAAATGAAAATATGGAACTCAATATAACCAGCGAACTGGACAGACAGGAGGCGTTGAGCACTGTCGAGTAATTAGCGCGAAAAAAGCAATTCAGCGATTTAGCGCGAAAAAAGCGTGAACAAAACACGGGGTTGCTTGCGAGGCGAAAAACAAACACGAGGTTGAGTGCTAGGCATGGAGGTAAATAAAACCTATACCCATGGTGAATGTGGTTTCCTTAAACGGTACCGACGTTCTACAACTAACTGGCTATCAGCTCTAGTCCATCTGGGTTGCGCATCGCAACAGCCTACCCACTTGGAACAGTCTAATAATAATAATTTATAACAAGTAAAAAGGACAAAGGAACTAAACATTACACTATAATGTCCACTAACACCGCCAGTTACTAAACAATCAGCTCATGCGATAACATTGCACCGGCACTGACCGGCATTACACATAATGGTGTAAATTTGTAGTTTCTAGATCCTTTTTAATTTTTATAATCCTTAGCTCTCCATCCGAGTTCATTCTTGCACACCTGATGAGCTGTCCATAACGTTATCTATACGACCAAACGATCGTCGTGTGAAACTGCTGCTTGTTACTGCTGCTTATTGTCCATCTAAAGTGTCATAGTCGAAATACAGTGCTGTTTTACTCCAGGACCCAGGATCAAGTTGCGTGAATAGAATACTGGTAATGGCTGACTTGTCTTCTCTTCAATAACAGAAAAACACCACTGGTCCAAATACACGGACCAAAGTTGCAGTGTTGTGAAGTCATAGGCTATGGCTGAATGCAGGATACGAAAGAATAATGAAACATTCCACGGCCGAGTTTTCCCTCATCCACAGGAACATCTTCACAACAAGGGTTCCGCGATTAGGGTGCATACTGGTAATGGCCGGTGAGACTGTTCCAGTCCTATTCAAATTACACACATACAAACTCAATCTGGCATAGTCCGAGTTTTTCGCGTGCTTTGCCAAAGTTGCCCATTCACAGTCTGTTCAGCTTTCTTATATTTCCTGGTGTGTACGTTCCCCATGGATCATAGGAAATCTGATTGTTCATCAGTCAGGCGAACGCAGAGGGAGCGTGAGCTTATCTACTCACCTCCCACCGCTTAAGGAGCAGCATCTGAGCCTTGATCCTTGAAGCGTGGTGGCGTGCCAACGGATGCAGAAAACTAGGCCTCTACATAGATAAACCGAGTCTCACGCGAACCATAACATTTTTTTCTCATCCAAGGAGCTTCGGACAAAATTAACAATCGGATTCCTTTCTTTAGAGTTGGACAAAAATATTGCCGTGCCCGACGAAATTTTCTGTCTGTAAACAACGATGCTTGGACACAGCGAGTTCCCCTCGACAGGCCATCGCTTTAAACGAGAGACCTTGGAAACTCAGGGCCCTACGATATGCTTTTTTGCATTGATGACCTAGACAAAAAAAAGCATACGGATGTTATAAATTCGTATAAATTTTTCCTTTTTTTAAAAGACATAACCTGGGATTCGAACGCGCACTATCGCCGTGCATGCATACCCCGATACACTTCGCATACAAACTTATTCTTCCAAGTTGCTTCACGTTATGATCTTGCATTTGAAAGCCCTATTTGAATATGCATTGTGGCCAGCCGTCTTTGATAGCACGGCACGGTACGGGACAGGTACGGGACAGGTACGGGACAGGTACGCGACAGGTACGGGACAGGTACGGGACATGTACGGTCGAGGGTAATACGACACCGTCTACCGCCTTGATGACTTGGGCTGTGTTTACATGAGAAATTTCAACCCGGGTCGAGTTCAGCCCGGGTTGAAAGTCTGTACGACAAACAAAAGAGGTGAGCGTTTACATGAAGACAGTTGACCCGGGTCAAATACTGATATGCCGCCAAAAGTCCACTTCTACAGTCCTGTATGGTCACGTGAATCCGTTCGCGCGAAATTTGCATCTGCAGTGCTGTTCAAACCTGGCGCGAGATACGCACAGAAGTACGTTTGTACGATTTTCTTGACCCGGGTTGATTTCAACCCTCCCCTTGGGGGGAGGGTTGAAATCAACCCGGGGCGAAATTTCAACCCGGGTCAAGCGCAATGCGTCATGTAAACGCGCCATTCACTTTGTGCACATGGCGGGTTGAAATCTGACCCGGGTCGAACTCAACCCGGGTTGAAACGCTTCATGTAAACACAGCCCTAGGCAAAAAAAGCATAGAGATGTTATAATTTTTTCAATTCTCCTAACTTTTTTGGCATTACCTGGGATTAGAACCCGCACTATCGCCCTACATGCATTCCCCCATACACTTCGCATTCATACTCATGCTACCAAGTTGCTTCACGTTATGATCTTGCGTTTGAAAGCCCTATTTGAATATTGTGGCCAGCTGTATGTGGCCAGCTGTGTTTGATGGTATGGTACGGTACGGTACGGGACAGATACAGGATAGCGCCAGGCGTGACACAAACTCACAAACACACAAACACTAAATTAAAGCTGTGTGAACCCTGGCTAGCTCCAGACGTTACTGAAGTAACGTCTTCTGCATAGCTACGGGAATAAAGATTATTATAATTGTGACAGAGCTCTCGGCCATTAAAGAAGTTGTTGAGTCACCTCCATCATTACTCTGCGCTATATTTGTATTATAGTACATAGATCTACAATGTGCACTGATACATTACATATATCTACTATGTGTACTCGTAAATTAAGGCACAAACTCAAGGTGATGAAAATGACTATATAAATGTTAAGAGAATGTCATCTCACACTGCACACGAGCCTGCTGCAGCGGACAGGCACGTTGACGCTGCAAAGGTGGGCAGCTCGGCTGCATGTACAGCCGGCAGTACATCGCCATCGGCCAGTCGCCCCGCAAAGGACGCCGGCCCCACGCAAAAACTTCAAGAACAGACCGGTGAAGGTGAAGAGGCATCGGCTACTGTAGCAGCAGCATCGGCACAGTCCGCGCCTTCTGGCCACCACGATGCAGCCTCAGTGCATTCTGGAAGGGAAGTCCCCAGTGACTCTGATGGTGACACCGACGCAGATGGTGAACCACTACCGCCAGGCGTTACGGCATCAGAAAGCTCGACTTCATGTGACGGAGAAACGATGGATCTGTACGAGCTATTCCGTCACTCGCAGATCGAGCCCGAAGTGCCGGAGATGCCTGGGACACACACCTCTGCATTACCAGCGGACGTGTTGCAGTGTATCTTTTAGTGGGTGGTGTCATCCTCGCTGGATGTCTACACTCTGGAGAAATTGTCCGAGTCGTGCCGGCAGTTCTACTTGTGGAGTCGCTACCAAGTGCTCTGGCGAGCCGTATGCCGCAGAATATGGGGAAAGGCCACCATAGCAGCACCCGAACTATCGTGGCAATACCACTGTCAGACTGTGTCACATCCGCTCTACCATGGTTGTTATGTAAGCTCGACAATGTACTGATGTCTACACTCTGGAGAAATTGGCAGAAGTGTGCCGGCAGTTCTACTTGTGGAGTTGCCACCATGTGCTCTGGCGAGCCGCATGCCGCAGAATATGGGGAAAGGCCACCATAGCAGCACCCGAACTATCGTGGCAATACCACTATCAGACTGTGTCACATCCGCTCTACCATGGTTGTTATGTAAGCTCCACAATGTACTATCGTGGTGGAGAGAAGTCGCTGGATGAGTTCTACAAGCCGTACCACACCGTTGTGTAGTAGAAGGGAAGCAAATGAAATGCTGGGCTCTTATTGCGAGCTTCATTCTTATTCATAGCTTGTGGAGCAATTAAGGGGCTTTGAGAGCCCCTTGTTGATACCTCTAATGACTTTGATCTTCGGTTTATATAGGTTTCCGCCAGCTGTTGACAAAGGAAAATCGTATAGATGAAAGATTACGGGAGGAAAAAACCGTACACACTTCTCAAATGCGTTGCTTTTAGTAGTACACCGTACATTTTGTGCAGAGTTCATTATCTGCACCGTACTATAATGCATACGTTTTTTCCTCCCGTAATCTTTCATCTATACGATTTTTCTTTCTCAACAACTAGCGGAAACCTATAAAAACAGAAAATCAAAGTCAGAGGTATCGACAAGGGGCTCTCAAAGCCCCTAAATAGCTCCACAAGCTATGAATAAGAATGAAGCTCGCAATAAGAGCCCAGCATTTCATTTGCTTCTCTTCTACTTTTAGTAGTCTTCAGTGGTGCTGAGTTACCATTACTTACCAGAAGAAAATATTCTTTCATACCACACCAAGTCTTTCTGCACACAAATCACAAACCACCCAATATAATGGTACAAAAGCATAATGGAAGTGAGATAATACATGTAACCTCGTTCTCAAATAGTTTGTGCATGGCAGGGAGGGTCTTATGGCTTTTTGTGCCCTTCAGGGTAGCCCTTGGGCCTACGGCCCTCATGCTAACCTGTCGGGCACTAACAAGCCTTAAAGCCCTCCCTGCCATGCACTAACCTATAAGTAGTGCTTTGAACTACACGATACTTGAATACAATCATGGATATTTACGTCAACCTATAAATAATGAGAAATGTTTTACCATTCGTTGTGAAAGTAGTAATTGGATACATCAGTGATTTGGATGTTTGATTTGAATTGGAACAAGAATGCTTTCGGCCAGTCTTCCAACGCCAGGGGAGAAAACCACTCTTGTCTCCGCAGGAAGCAGTGAGTCAGCAGAAGACGAAAAGGCAGATCAAAACATCTGCTGCCGGATTATGAAGGCGATGGCTGTACTAATCTTGTTACTGGGCGTGGTGTTTGCTCTCATTTGGGTATTATTTCGTTGATTGGCGTTTCTGTGATACGGTCTACTAAATAATGCAAATGGCCTGCTCCACGCTGCTGATTCACACAGGCTAGGACCTTCACAGCTGATGCATTCAAGCTAGAACCCTCGCAGTCCATTATATACACACATTTTAATACAACTATTAAGACTACTTGAACCTTATGTTGTTACCCTCGAGAGATTTAACCGACCGCGCGCCAGTGAAGGATAGATGATCGGAAAAAAATAGGCAGTTGTATTTAGTATTTGCTGTCTATTATTGCTCAGAAATGTGATAGGATGCGTTGGAAAATGAAATTCACGGGATGATGACCTCAAAGAGCGTAAGCAAAGAATCAATGATCTTGAATTGGTATTGTCAACACCAGTACTTCAGTACCAGCTTGTAATATCTTGGAATTCTGTGAAAGAGAGGTTAAGATGCACGTTATTTCTGACGTGACGCGAAAGTTCAGCTCACGTTATTTGGCTCACACGTCGAAAAATCAACGCGAGTGACCTGCTTCTCATGTCCAAATTTGGAGTCACGTCGGAAATACCATGCACCTTAACCTCTCTAATGTCCACTAATACCGCCTGTTCATTGCACTCCCAACTCATCACAACCACGCGCTCTTCAGCCGAACCATACAGACACCAGCAAGGACACTTCCGTTGAGAGATAATATTGCTCCACGCCCCTAGACAGCTGTTTCGCTCCCTGTCGGAGCTCATCAGTAGAGGATGATAATGATGATAATGGAGGAATGATCATTCTTATACACCAGAAATGGCGCAAGTGTGCGCTTTCCACATATATCAATGGCATATGCAAGCTGCTAAAATGGTAAAGTGTGAGAACAGCGATAAATAATCATAGTACGCGCTCATTGGTGGAGAAACACACCACACAAGCGACGAAAATCTTACTCGGAATACTGATGCCAATGGAAAGTACACGTATGTTGTTTATTATTATGATGTTGCAATGTCCATGTATGCAGGCGAGGCGAGACTCACCCCCGAGATCCCCCAACGCGACAGGCTCGGTTGCCGTTCAGGATTCACACCGACCTGTCCGCCCGTCAACAGGATCGACAGCGGGAGGCCCCACTGATGCCGATGTCGATGCACACCAGGAAACTTGTAGTCAGGAGTGTGATACTAACAGGTCTAGCAGCAACCACCGACAAACGAGAGGCCAGCTGGGGCATTCACTCCAGTCAGGAATGCTTGGTCGACGCTTCGTATCAGCAGCTCAGCTCAGTTTGATCAAAGATGTTGCAGATGCGTCTTGCTTTCCTCCTTCCTTCTTCACCGACTCGTCTTGTCATCCCTCCTTCTTTCTTCACCGACTCTTCGTGTCCACTCTGCTCTGCCACTAACGGCGCATTAAAACTTCAGAACTAAAATATTGTCTAGGGGCGTGGAGCAATATTATCTCTCAACGGAAGTGTCCTTGCTGGTGTCTGTATGGTTCGGCTGAAGAGCGCGTGGTTGTGATGAGTTGGGAGTGCAATGAATTGAAAATCTGGCCGAAAGCTCTGTCGCAATATTTTAGTTCTGAAGTTTTAATACCGCCTGTTACTGAATAATCAGTTCATGCGATAACATTGCACGACACTGTCGGACGGTATTGACGTTCTACAAATAACTGGCTATGCAGCTCTAGAACTCCCCCCCCTCCCCCCGGGAGAAATGAAAGTCCTCAACCCGATAGACGTGTGCGTGGAAACAGGCATATGTAAGTACGTGCATGTGTTATATGCTAACATCGGAGGGGAAGGGGATGGAAACTAAGAAAAGCACGAGCGGAAAGTCTCAGCTGTGAAGGAAGTTAGCGGATGTAAATGTGACTTGCTTGTCGATGATGACGGAGCAAGGAACTGCACGTTACACTCTAATATCCACTAACACTACCAGTTTACTGCACAATCAGGTCATGCAATAACATTGCATAACATGTTATCATATGTATGAGAATCTCCCAAGTTGGATGGCTGTTGAAGGGTGCATCGGAGGTGGGCTTGGCCAGTAGCCAGTTAGTTAACCAGTTAGTGGTTGAATATCAGTCCCGTCCAACAGTGTCGTGCATTATTATAGCCTGACTATGAGCTGATTGTTTGGTAGCTACAAAATGTCATTTATAACAAGTTCTGAAGTTATCATTCGACACGTCAGTGATTGATCATACTTATTATTAATAGATGTTAGGTTAAAGAATGCGAGGTCCGGTATTGTAGATTTAAAGAAGCTTCTCTTCAATAAAAAAACACCACTCGTCTGAAGACACGGGCCAAAGTTACAGTGTTGTGAAGTCCTATGGCTGAATGCAGGATACTAAAGAATGATGAAACATTCCACGTCCGAGTTTTCCCTCATCCACAGGAACGTCATCACAATAAGGGTGCCGCGATCAGGGTGCATACTGGTAGAAGCCGGCGAGCCTGCACCTATCCAATTTACACACCTACAAACTCAATCTGGCATAGTCCGAGTTTGCCGCACGCTTTGCAAACGTTGCCCATTCAAAACCTATTCGTTATTTCGTAAGAAAGATGCCTCTGCATATGAGACGGCGAATTGTGCCTCAAGCAAAGGCACCAACAAAGAGTACCCCGATTGTCCCCAACGAATGCCGTGAAGTAGCAGAGAACGACAGAGAAGAGAAGTGCATCTGCTGCCGGATATGGAAGCCAGTGTCTGTGACCGTCTTGGCGCTGGCCTTAGTGTTTGGTCTCCTTTGGGTGTTGTTTCGTTGAGTTGTCTCTCCCAGTAAACGGGTTGCTCAATCATGCAGATGGACTGCGGCACACAGCTGATGCACACAGGCTAGGAACTTCACAGCTGATTCACACAGGCTAGGACCCTCACAGCTGATTCACACAGGCTAGTACCCTCACAGCTGATTCACACAGGCTAGTACCCTCACAGCAGTCCATATTATACATACATTTTAATAAAATTATTTTAAAACCAATGTTTTGGAATGGATGTATTGTGAATACTACCTTATGTGGGTACATTCGAAAAATTTAACGGAACATGGGATATTCCTTGAGAGATGATCGGTTACGTGGTATTTAGTATTTCCTTTGTGTTAATGTTCAGCATTGCGGTAGAATTCGTTGCGAAATGACAACCGAGCCCGAATTTCTTGAGTTATTTGCCTGTATGTGATACTGAAGTAGAAACCTGGATTATTCACGGGATGATGAGCTCAAAGAGCCCAAGCAAAGAAGCAATGAGGACAAATTTCGAAGTTTTCAAAGAAAATCGACGGTAGTATTGAAGACTATGGGTGTATGTTTCTGACAGGCCGCTATCCTGAATTGGGAGATATTATAGGATTAGTATTGTCTCCTCCTGTACGTCACCTCATTCTTAACCTATCTTGGGGTTAATGCAAGATGTGACTCCGAGAAAAAGAGGCCATCAGATATGGCCATGGTAACAAGGTGACACCACAGACACGATGCATGTTTTGGCGATCGTTTCCACAATCTCTGGAATTGTCCTAATTATTATTTTCTAGAAGTGTCATTGGCTTTTGTACCTATCCGGGTTTTGAAAGGAAGTTGTAACAGCACCCGAATAATGCCTGCGTTAGATGCTAAGGGTGCCGAGTGACAATACCCCTCTCGTCGCTACACCATGCTATTCAGATAAGTGCCGCGGATGCACTCAGGCTACAAGACCACAGTCTGAAGTTATCTGGTGCAGATTTACACAACCGACGTTCGTCCTGGAAGGGTGAAGGGTAAATCAGGAAAATGTATTTGGTAGTTCCCGAGTTTTTCTAGTCAGAAATGCAGTGGGTATAGTTGCACAATGTCTGCTGAATGAACTCAGAGGGAGAACATACGATTATAATTATGATAGAAAGAAGGACTGTTTCATGTTGTCTAGTGTGTGTGTTCCCTTATGGGTAAAAGGAAATCTGATAGATTGTAGGCCAGACGAACGCGGACGAATTGTACCACACTAACGTGGCACAATACAC